CCTGCCCCCATCCATCCACAGCCCTCGGCGTGTCTGACGCCCCCAATGTCGTCGAGCAGCCGGGGGCCGGGGGCCGGAGCGCGCCGACGCCGAACCCGCTGCCGCCGCTGCCGGGCCTGTGTGCGCACTGAGTGCGGGGACTGCCACTTCTGCAGAGACATGAAGAAGTTTGGGGGGCCCGGGCGCATGAAGCAGTCGTGCCTGCTCCGGCAGTGCACTGCCGTGAGTTCCGTCCCCACTGCACTGGGCCCCTTTGGGACTTGAGGCATCCTGGGCTGGCTGACCTGAGCACCTTCCTGGGCTGGCTGGTGGCTGTTTCCCATAGGGTACTGTAGAGTTGCTGTCCCATCTTGTTTAAATGGCCATTTTTGTCCTCAGCTCCAAGCTGGGGGCAATGTTGGGGTGCACAGAAGAATCTGACCCAGTCCCTCCGGGCCTTCCTCTCAGAGGGAGTTTGGGTACAAAGGGACCCACCCCCAGGCCTGCTGCTGTGAACAGGTCTTGCCCTTCTCTGGCCTCTTGCTCACATGTCAGGATACTCTTGAATTTGAGGCCAGTCCCACCCCTCGTGTGACCTTGAGCAAATCACTTTGAACTTCAGGTACCTTCTCTGAAAAATGTTTCCTTTGCTGAGTTGTAAAGATTAAACAGAAGTGTGGCTATGAACGTGCCTGCCACAAGGCACAGCACACAGTAGGTGTTGGGGAAACACGGGTTTCCTCCCTGCTTTCCTCATCCTTTGAGCTTCCCGGGGCTCCTGAGAGCGGCCCAGTGAGGAGCCAGCTGCATCCTGCACCCCTCACACACCTCCTCTCTCTCTTCCTCCAGCTACTCTTTCCTGATTGGTCTCTTCACCCCACAGTCCTCTCTTCTTTTGTTCCCCAAACCCTTTGCCTCACTTTCCCATTCATTCTTCCCTACCTCCTCCTTCCTTGATCTGTCTCCCAGCCTTTACCCTCTCTGATGTGACTTGGTGTTACCATTGTTCTCCCCGAAGTCGGGAAGGCCGGGAAGGCTGCTCCCGTCTTCCTCAGGACTAGTCAGCTGCCTTTAGTGTTCCGAGGGGTCTTGCCAGAACCAGGTTGGTTACTGGATCTAGAGCAACCACAAAATTACCCCAGGGTGCTGTCGTGTCTTTTCCAACAGCCTCCTGAGTATTATTGCCATACTGGCCTGCAGTCTCTCTCCATTCCCAAAGGCAGCTGTAATTTCAGGGTCATGCTGGCCTGGATCTATCTAGCTGTAACAATCACAACAGTGATAACAGCTATGTGTTGAATGCCCCTTGTGCATTCTTTCATTCTTTATTTTTTTGTTTAAACTTTTCTTTTTTTTTTTTTTTGAGAGGTTTTTGCTATAGGGCGCGTGCGCTCACCAGGAAGACAGAGAGATAGAAAGCGAGAAATCACCGCCCAGGGGGGATGGCCACGCCACAATCCCTTCTCCTCCATTCTCCTCTCGGGATCTTAGGCATGCACGCACATGCGCCCGGCGTGAGTTTAAGCCACCGGGTCTGGGACTCAAACTGCAGTTGGCTACATGGGAGTTCAGTGACATAGCCATTATGCTAACTGCTGGTCCCTGTTTAAACTTTTTTAAAAGAGCTTAATTTGCCATTGAGTGCGAGTGCTTGACAGAGAGCGACAGAGAGGAAAAGTGAAAAAACACACTCCTCAGGGGGGATAGCCCTGCCACCAGCCCCTCTCCTCTATTCTCTCAAGATTTTGGGCACACGTGTGCACCTGGCATATTTTGCAGACCACCAGGTCTGCAACTCAAACTGCATAGCTGGCCATGTGGGACCCAGCTGCCTTCACACCACGCCATCTGACTGGCCCCACAGTATCGCGCTCTTTTTTTTTTTTTTTTTAATAATTCATGAGAGAGAGACTGCACCCCCAGCAGGGACCTCCATCTCATTCTTAAAACAATCCTGCAAGGGAAATATTGCTAGCTCCGTTTTACAGATTCAGAAATGGAGACTTGAGGGGATTAAATCACTTGCTCAAGGTCATATTTCCAAAAAGTAATAAATTCAGGAGTTGACACAGCAGGGTCAAAACCTCACCCAGTGGCTGACCAGGGGCCCCAGAAGAAAGGGTCTTTCCCCCGTTGGCTGCTTTCGGGGTCCCTAATGCCCCTTCTCCCCCAACAGCCCGTGCTCCCACACACAGCCGTGTGCCTCCTGTGTGGGGAGGCAGGGAAGGAGGACACAGTGGAGGGAGAAGAAGAGAAATTTGGTTTGAGCCTCATGGAGTGTACAATCTGCAACGAGATCGTCCACCCTGGCTGCCTGAAGGTGATCACTGTGGGGACTGGGGTTGGGGGTGGGGCTGATTGCTGGGGAGCAAGAAGGGGCACACTGCCTCTGGTTTTACCAGATCCCTCTATCCAGTCCCTGCCCTCTTGCCTACAGATGGGGAAGGCTGAGGGTGTCATCAATGCGGAGATCCCCAACTGCTGGGAGTGCCCTCGCTGCACCCAGGAAGGCCGCACCAGCAAGGTAGGGCAGGGGCTTCGCGCCCAGATGCTGGGCTCTGTGCAGGTGGCAGGTCAGGGAACTGTGCAATACCTCACCCCCAGCTTCCATCTCCCCAGGACTCAGGTGAAGGGCCAGGCCGCCGAAGGGCTGATAACGGTGAGGAGGGCGCCAGCCTGGGGAGTGGATGGAAGCTGACAGAGGAGCCTCCGCTTCCACCACCCCCACCTAGGCGCAAGGGCCCTCCGCCTGCTGGGCCCCCCCCAGAGGATGTACCTGGACCCCCTAAACGAAAGGAGAGGGAGGCAGGGAATGAGCCCCCCACCCCAAGGAAAAAGGTGAGCCATGGAGCATAGGTCCAGCCCAGGGGATTCTGGGAACTGTAGTCCTGGCCTTTTTGAGTATGGAGGTGGGCCTGGGGAGCAACTCTCTGGATCCCCCGGGCATTGTTGGGAGGCATAGTTCAGGGGTCGTTGGAAATAAGGGTGGACTGCTCAGTGTGGAAGAGAGGTACAGGTGAGGGAAACGGCATGGGGTGGGAAGCATTGGGAGCCCTCAGTGGCCTAGGGAGGAAGGAGAGAGCATGCTCAAATTAACTGCTACAGAGGAGGAGGGAGAGGCAGGAAAGGGCCTGAGGGGGAAGAAAGAATAGATGAGAGCATGCTCAGTGAGCCAAGACGCTGGTTGCAAGGTGAGCATGCTCAGAGTTCTCCCTAGGCTGGGGACTTCTGGGATTTGTAGTCTAAGAGGAAGGCATGGACCTTAGCTTTATGGGCATTGAAGACCTAATGGGGTCTCTACCTTCCCCCATATCTCCTTTTTGCCCTGGTAGGTGAAAGGAGGCCGAGAGAGGCACCTGAAGAAGGTGGGTGGAGACGCCTGCCTCCTCCGAGGATCGGACCCAGGCGGCCCTGGCCTTCTGCCCCCCAGGGTTCTGAATCCGAGCCAGGCTTTCTCGTCCTGCCACCCTGGGCTCCCTCCCGAGAACTGGGAGGTGTGCCTGGGACCTCCTCCCTCCCCCTCCCACCTTTCCTTGCCCCACCCTCCACCCTGGAGGCAGAGATCTGTTCCTTTCTGTTGACCTTGTTCTGCCCCAGCTGCCCTTGGCCACAGCGGCCTCTGGACCCCTTGGAAGAGTTGGTGGGTTGGGTCCAGGCCACAGGCGCCCCTTACTTCCCAAGAACCCTTAGGGTATCATTTACGTCATCTTTCCAAATCTTACAGGCGAAAGATCTGAGTTCAAATTCTTCCCTGACTGCTGACTGTTTATATGGTCTTGGAAAACTGTCAGCTGTTCTGAGCCTCAGTTTCCTCATCTGTAAAAGAGAGCCTACCTCACCCAAATATCTCTCAGAACTATATCAGTCTGAGTTAATGAGAGTATATGAGTTTCGTGAGCTGTAACTTTATGTGGGTTTAAGGAAAGTGAGACCCAAAGAGGTTAAAAGAGTCACCCAAGGTCACACAGCAGAGCCAACATTCAGATATTGCTTTGTACTGACACACAAAACACACTAGAACAAGATGCTGTTACAATCCTTCCTCTATCTTGTGTCCATTTGAAACCAGCCTTGGACAAGTCACTCAGTCTCTTTCAGCCTCAATTTCTCATGTCTAAAAAGAGCAGCCCGAGTCGCCACCACATAAGAACACACCATGAGAATGCTTGGGGTGCTCCACGTGGAGCCACAAAGTCATTGTTACTTGTGTTGTTTAATGGACACTTGGAATTGTCTAATCCAGCCAGGCGATGAAGCAGGGGCTTCCCGAGGTCATACAGAGGGTTGGTAGGCAGCCAGTACTCAAAACCAGGCCTGTGCTTTCTGTACTTCACTGCTTTTGAAAATTCCCTAGCTGTTGAAACCTGTAAGACTTTACATTCCTCAAATCAGTGTCTTTGCGTTACAGATGAAGAAACTGAAGTCCAGAGGTGGGCAATGACTTGGCCAAGGTCTCCCACTGTTGAGCAGAACCAGGGCTGGAACTCATGACTATCCCTTGGGCTGTTCATCCCCTGGTGTCTCCTCTGGGGCAGGGGGGTGGGAATGTGTGTCCCAGGCTTGAGAACAGCCTCACCCTGTCTCCCTGCAGAAACCAAAGCCGCCTTTGGCCTCTGCTGAGGGCCCGGCGGTACCGTCCCCATCGCCACAGAGGGAGAAGCTGGAGCGTTTCAAGCGGATGTGCCAGCTGCTGGAGCGGGTGCCTGACACCTCCTCTTCCTCCTCGGACTCAGACTCTGATTCCGACTCCTCAGGCACGTCGCTGAGTGAGGATGAGGCCCCTGGCGAGGCCCGGAATGGGCGACGGCCAGCACGGGGCAGCTCTGGCGAAAAGGAGAACCGTGGGGGGCGGCGGGCTGTGCGCCCTGGCACTGGGGGGCCCCTGCTCAGCTGGCCCCTGGGCCCCGCCCCACCACCCCGGCCTCCACAGCTGGAGCGGCATGTGGTACGGCCCCCACCTCGAAGCCCCGAGCCTGACACGCTGCCTTTGGCTGCTGGATCCGACCACCCCCTGCCCCGGGCCGCCTGGCTTCGAGTCTTCCAGCACCTCGGGCCCAGAGAGCTGTGCATCTGCATGCGAGTCTGCCGGACTTGGAGCCGCTGGTGAGTGGCCTGGAGTGGCCTGATTCCATTGCCAACATGCTTGTCACTTGCTTTGTGGCCTGTGATGGATGTTTGAGCCTCTCTGGGCCTTGCTGTCATTGTATTGATGATACCGTGTCCAGTATTATATGTGTGCAGTGTGTCCACATTACATGTAAGGGGAAGCTACCGTATTTGCTGTGTTTGGGCTGCTTTCCACTTGTGAGCTCATTTGAACCTCTTGACAGCCTTTCATCCCTAGTTAGATGAAGCTGGAGCTCAAGGTCATGTGGAAAGGAGACAACAAAACCAGGAGTTTGGACGTAGGCCTCTGGCTCTAGAATCTGTCCTCCTGATGACAGCTATTGCTTATGGGGTGCTTAGTATATGCCAGGCAGAGTGTTAAGTGCTGTGATGTTTCATCTCACTTAGCTGCTGGTCCCTCTTCTGAGGACCCTCTGAGTAATTGGTGCTATTTGCATATGAGAAAGCCTTTTGCTGGGACCAGCAGTTAGCATAATGGCTATGTCGCTGGACTCCCATGTAGCTGTCTGCGGTTCAAGTCCCAGACCCGGTGGCTTAAACTCACGCCGGGTGCATGTGCGTGTGTGCCCAAGATCCCAAGAGGAGAATGGAGGAGAAGGAACTGCGGCATGGCTATCCTCCCTGGGGGGTGATTTCTCGCTTTCTGTCTGTCTCTGTCTTTCTGGCGAGCGCACACGCCCTATAGCGGAAACCTCTCAAAAAAATAAAAAAGAAAGCCCTTTGCTGGGGTGTCCCCTGCCCTCTCAAAGGTGGCCACACTTGGACCTCCTACTAGGGGTACATAGCATCTCCTTTCACCGCTAACACTCTCAGCCACTCTCCCCCCCCTCTATCCCACCCTCCCTACTACTCTTGAACCTTGTTTGTTCAGAAATGTTGGTTGTCCTTCCAAGCTGCTTGTCTTCCTTTCTGATCCTACTGCCAACAAAATTCTTCATCAGACTCCCACAGCACGCTGTTCGCCTAATAGAGCATAGAGAGGCCTTCTGCGTTGATAAGCCTTCATTCATTTACTTGTTTTTATGTTCTCATCAGTTGCTGGGGTGAGGGAAGATATGGTGTCTGTTTTAGCTTTGCATTCCCAGCACAGGACAAAGGGCGCAAGACATGTTTATTAAATGAGTAAATTCAGGCTCTCTCCTAGGTACTGAGGAACAGGTGTCCTGTTGGGCACTTCCTAAAGGTTAGCTGAACCCTTCCTGGTGATAGCAATTGGTGTGAGGGAATGAGGGCACCTGAAGTCACAGCACGAGGTAGTAGCCAAACACAGACTTCTGTCCTCTTCCTTTGAGACAGCGTCTGGAGTGCTACTTTGTGCCTTCTGGTCTCTGTGGAGGCAGTGGAGCCCAGAGGAACTGAGTGCAGGCTCTGGAGGTGAACTGCCCGTGAACCAGTCTTAACCTTCCTCTGATGAAATGCATGTGTTGGGCTATTCCTTAACTCCCATGCCTCGGTTTCTTTTCTTGCTTTCAAGTTTCAATTTGGTTATTTTTTTTCCTTCCTTTTTTTTTTTTAGATTAATTTTACATAAAATTCTCATCATGATGTATACTATATATACACACACACATATATATATTTCTTTTTTTTTAAACAGAGAACTTTACAGTGTTGTGTTTGGTAAATGTTTCTTCCCTTTGCACCTCACACCTAACTTCTACCACATACTCTCTGCCATCCACTCTACGGTCTTTGGTATCTACACTCACTCTCTAGTATTATATCTGCAGATCTTTCCATTTCTGCCATAGAGTACAGATATCCAGTACAAATTGAGTGGGGATATACAGTATGTATCTTTCAATGTTGGCTCACTTCACTCAACATTAAATCTTCTATATTCATCCACTTTGAATCAAGTGATAAGTCTCATTGTTTCTTATAGTTGAGCAATATTTAGTTATTTCTTCCATAAGAGAGACAGGCAGGGACTCCAAACAGCGTTCCTACCCTAGCCTCCACCAACCTAGATCATAGGCTGCATCCTCCATTCCTATTGTGTACACAGAGGCCTCAGAAAACAGATCCAGGGTCTACCCATGTAGGTCCAGCATCACAGCTTATTGTGTTACTTAGCTCCACTGCCTGCTGACCCTGCCTCAGTTTCTTTGTAAAGCCAGGATAACCAAAGCTCTACTTCATCTTGTTTTTGTGAACTGACCTACATAAAGAACAGAGCCTGGTCCCTGGGAAATTGAAACTCCTCAGTGCCTTAACTATGGTCGTTATCATTCACTTAGTTACAAATGTTTACTGAAAGTGGACACTTTTAGGCCTGAGAACATTGATTCCTGCCCTTGAAGAGCTCCCAGTCAACCTGCTACATAGAAACAGATAGTTACAGGAGTTGCTGGGGTTACCATCCTAGCCTCTTACATTAGTTGAAGAATTGTCTGCTGAGGCCCCTTCAAGGTCAGCCCTGTGCTTGGCATGCTGGATCCAGAACTGAAACTTATGTCTCAAAGAGAGGCTTGTGACCGCACTGGACAGAGCAGAAAGGCTGGACTGCACAGAGATTTCTAGCCTGGGCCTGGAATCTGGCCACCAGGGGTTTCATCAGCTGTGACTCCAGCACAGCCATGGGCGAATGACTGTGCCTCTCAGGGCTTTAGTTTTCTTGTCTGTAGTGTAGGATTCAGTTAATACTCATGGGGATTAAATGAGGGGGCTCCTGCAAAGCACTTAGCATGGGGCCTGTAGGGTACTCAGTCCTCAATAAAATGGTGCCTGTCGATGAAAGAGGAAAAGGACAAATATAGGACAGAGCAGGGGCCAGCGAGGGTACATCCATCAGGAGTCTCTGCCAGGTCTAGACACAGAATCAGGGACAGTGGGGAGGGGTTCAAGTGGAGGGCTTTCTTTTCTTTTTTTAAGTTTTGCTATAAGGCATGTGAGCTCATTGGAGAGAGACGGAGACAGAGAAAGAGGAGAGGTGAGAAATCATCCCCAGAGGGGAATGGCCACGTCATAATTCTTCCATTCTCTTCTTGGGATTCTGGGCATGCATGCACATGTACCTGGCATGATTTTCAAGCCACTGGCCTGAGATGAACTGTGTCGTTGGCCATATGGTATCCAGCTGCCTTAACCTCCATGCCACCTCTTAGCCCCAAGAGCTTGCTTTATATATATATATATAAAAAGAAAGATTGCCTGAGGGCTTATGTGTTGACCAGAGATGGAGAGGGAGAGAGGAGAGGCACAGCCCTTCTGTGGTCATGCAGTCCACTTTCCCATCCTGTCAGAATCTGGGGCACATGCACACATGCCCAACATGTTTTTCAAGCTGCCAGGGCCAGGATTTGAACTGCAGTTGTCCATGTAGGATCCGGCTCCCTTTAACCACTAGCTTATGGGACTGGCCAGTCAAGAACTTTATTTTCATAAAAGATTTTTGCTGTAGGGCAGTGCACACACTGGAGAGACAGACAGAAAGTGAAAAACCACCCCCACCCAGGGGAATGGCCACACCACAATCCCTTCTCCTCCATTCTCCTCTCAGGATTTTGGGTACACTTGCACACACGCCTGGTATGAGTTTTTGTTTTGTTTTGTTTTGTTTTTTAAGAATTATTTAATTTCGGGGCTGGCAGGTAGCATGGTGATTGAGGGCACTGGACTCCCACATGGCCGACCGCAGTTTGAGTCTTGGACCTGGTGGCTTGCTTTCTCACTTTCTCTGTTCTCACTCTGTCCCTCTAAAATAAATAAAGTTAAATAAAATAATTTTTAAAAATAATTATTTAATTTTATTCACTTATTTATTTTAATTTGGCCAGGGAGAGAGACACAGAGAGAGGGAAAGTGAGAAAGCAAGCCAACAAGTCCGGGACTTGAACTATAGGCTGCCATGTGGGGGCGTCCAGTGCCTTAACCATTATGCCACCTGCCGGTCTCTTGGCATGAGTTTTAAGTTGCTGGATCCAGGATTTGAATCACAGTCGACTACATGGGAGTCTAGTGATGTGACAACCATTATGCCATCTGCTGGTCCTAGTCAAGGACATTTTTGGGGACCAACAGTTAGCATAATGGCTTTGTTGCTGGACTCGCATGTAGTTGACCGAGGTTCGAGTCCCGGACTCAATAGCTTAAACTCACACTGGGAGCATGTGCTGGGAGCATGTGCGTGCGTGCCCAAGATCCCAAGAGGAGAATGGAGGAGAAGGGATTGCGGCGTGACCATCCCCCCTGGGGGGTGATTTCTCACTTTTTGTCTTTCTGTCTCTCTCTGTCTTTCTGGTGAGCGCATGTGCCCTATAGCAAAAACCTCTCCAAAAAAAAAAATAAATAAAGTTATTTATTTAATTTTATTTATTCATTCATTCATTTTATTTGGCCAGAGAGAGAACGGAGGAAAGTGAAAAAGCAAGCCACCAGGCCTGGGTCTCAAACCATGGTCAGCCATGTGGGAGTGTCTGTACCACCTGCTGGCCCTAGTCAAGATCCCTTTAACAAGCAAAATGTCTCAGATTTGGTGACTAATTGTCTGCAGGGACAGAAGCATGACTCTCAACTGATTTCAGGGTTCAGCAAGTTGATGGGCAACATCATCATTCTCTAAACTCAAGAGTAACAGGAACAGGTTCCAGGGAAAGTGACGAGCTCAGATTTGACATGTTGGTTGGAAAGGCCTATGGACCTGTCAGGTGGAGCCAGCAGGAGAGCAGCTGGACTTCCAATCTTTCGGGAAAGAAACAAGCTTGGGAGTTTTCTACCTGTAGATAGCAGCTTCGACAAAGAAGACAGAAGATGAATGTCAGTATTTGCGAGTTAGAGAAAGAGCAGCTGGAGAATTGGAAGAGCTCAAGGGTAGAGGTGCTCCTTAAAGAGAGGAAGGGAGGAAGGGGGAGTAGGGAACAGTGGTGAATGTTGGCAAGGTGTCATGGGAAATCAAGATCCAAAAAGTCACAGTTGGATTTTGCTACAGGGAGGCCTTGGTATCCTTGGCTGCGCTACGTGGGGTGGGAGGGATC